TAATAAAACAAAGGTAGTGGTCTTTGGCAGAAGTAATACTAAACACATATGAACAATTAATGCCCAACAAATAGGGCAATACCCCTCTTTTAAATATCTAGGCATCACCTTTCATAAGTCCCTTTTATGGAAAACACATTTAACTACTGTCTTAGCAACTGCCCAGTGTACAGTGGGTGCTATTCTGAAATTGTTCTATTCTAAAGGAGGGCAACTGTAGTCCTTGCACTTAAAATATTTCAAGGCAAGGTGATAGCCCAGATGTTCAATGGGGCTGGGATCTGGGGCTGGGATGAGAAGATTATTGCCCAGTTGGAAGTAGTCCAAAACAACTTCATTAGGAAGATTTTGGGCCTCCCACAGGGCACCCCCGCTGCCTATTTAAGAATGGAGGTAGAGCTACCTTCCATTGCCATTAGAATATATCTTGTATTGTTGGGGCACTATAAAAAAGAAATTTACCTTTATTTAACAAATTATCCATGACTTAAATGTTAAGACTTTTATTTTATTTTATTTTATTTTATTTTATAATAAATATGGCCACCCATCTTAAGAAACAGAACTGTGGGCAGCTCCCAACAGCAATAAAAACCAGACAATAAGAACAGTAAAATCACAAAACAAACTAAACCTGGAGCCTGAGCCATCCTCTTCTGATGCATACAACATAACCATCCCTGGGCTCCAATCTCACCCTATCCCAGTGCCTGGGGGAGGAATCAGCTCTTAATGGCTTTCCAGAAGGCTTAGAGAGTGGGGCTCTGCCAGATCCTGGGGGGAAAGGGTGTTCCACAGGGCAGGGGTTGCTATAGAAAAGGCACCCTGCCTAGGTCCCACCAGATGGCAACATTTAAGGGATGGGACCTGGTGGGATAGGCACATATCCTCAGAGAGAGGTGGTCGCACAAATAGCCTGGTCCTGTACCATTCAGGACTTTAAAAGTGATAACCAGCACCTTGAATTGCACCTGGAAAGAGGCTGGGAGCCAGTGCAGCATGAATAACAGCAGTGTAATGGGAGTCAATTGAGGGGCATATTCCCACAATGTAATTTGCCATTCTTCTCCTGAAGGAATTATACATACTTTCCAATAGGAAGTGTAGAATATCCTAGCAGCTTTTTAGCATGTACAAAGCTAGTTGAGCGTAACTTTTAGACCACTATATTTTGTACCATCTGCACATATGATAAACATTTCCTTCCTGTTATCATCCAAATCATGAGTGAAAATGAAGAGTTGAGAATCAAAGACTGATCCTTGTAGCATCCACTTGCCATCTCACCCAGTTTAATGAGGAACCATTTAATGAATACTCTTTGAATTTTTGAGCTAGATATACGTAGGTCTACTACCATTGTGTGAAAAAATATTTGGCCCCTTCCAGATTTTCTGAATGTGTGTATATATTTGAATATTAGTTTCTTGTAGGTCCCATAAAGAGAATCTGAGTGAAAGTTTGGTGACTCTTTTGTTTATTTCCATAACAAAGTCAGCCAACATGTGTTAAAGGAATAATGAAGGCCAGTTGCATGAATACTTCATTTAACAGTCAGGGCTGATTTGGACCAGGCCTCTTCTGTATAAATCTCACAAATGTTAGCTGTTATCATAGTGAAGTTCTCACCATTCAGATTCTACAAGCACATCCTGGAAGCATGCTCATCTGGAAAATGATGCAAAATCATTGCTTTGTTGTTCTTGCTGTTATGTATTTTCCTGCTTATTAGCATGTTAAACGTATACAAATATATCATTTGACAACCAATTTTTCAGACTTTTCAGCTACGCCAACCCAGTATCCCATAGAGCTATTGATTTTTGATAGATGATTTTATAATATATAGAGATAAGAATCAAATAGCATGGGTTCTATTTTATTGCACCAAGAAGTCTTTTTAGTGTAGTAAAGAATTTGTTACACCCTGTTTAACTCTAGATACGGATAAAGCTGCAGCATTAATACATTTTGACAGCAAGAAAACCGAAGCTAAGGACATGCTGCTTTTAAAAGTTTTTCTTAATCAAATATTCTAGAAATGTTATCTACTTTATCTTCCAAAAATAGAAGTCCATTTCAGAGTTGGCTGACCATGCTGAAATATATCAACCTGGTTTAAATGGTATGGTTCATCTTTTGAAAGCAAGTTTCAGGCAGAGCTATTGATTGTAATTGCTAAAGTGCCTCCCATTGTCCTATTTCAGGATTCCTCTGGGCATTCCTTTTTCTTTTTTTTCGGAGTTTTGCCAGTTCCAATCTTCTACTTGTATCAGTGAACAATACTGCTACTTGAACCAAATAGATCGTACTATTCCCTCCCACTTTCTTTTCAAAGGACAATGCTTCAGTATTAGTGCAAGCTGTACCTGCTGCCACAATTCTAGTTGTATCCAACAGTTTTAAGAATTCACCTTTCTCTCATGTTCTATCACAGTGTATTGGACCATCCAGAGCATATAGAGAATTTGTCCAACTTCTTGAAGTTAAGCAAAGACTGGGCATGAACAGATATTAACATTTTTACAAAGCCCCCCTCCCCCCAATTTAAATGGGTAGATAGAAATCAGTTACAGAAGCTGATGTCATTGGTTTGTTTTTATGAAATATATTGTCCACCTGAAATGTGTTTAGAAATATTACACAGCCATGACACAAGAATGCATTTAAATAGGCTTGAAGGATCCATTTAAGTCAAATGATCTTCTGTGTATTTATGTGATATGAGGTTCCTTAAAGGCTTTACATGTGACTGCGATTAGTGACTCTTAAATATGATGTGTGATTTATAGTTTAGTTACCACACTGAATGCATCCTGTGTATGACCTCTATATTTTATTATCAAAGGCTTATCTTTTAGAGCAAAGGAGGCAACCTAATAAAGTTGGTCAACCGTATCAGGCCCAACGAGCATCACTAATAAAGAAATTGTGGAAATCTATATACCACTAAAACTCTGTGTTTGCCTGTTTGTAACCTTCAATTGGGCAAAATGGTGAATCATAGGCAACCATTTTTGAATCAACGTACCTCAAATGGGCTAATTTAGAGAATGTGTCCAAAATTGGGGACCCAGTACTCCAGTGGGATTGAAATTTGGCAAAGTTGTGGCTGCTTCTGCATCACTGCACCTTCTGACTACACTTCCCAGAAGCCCATACATTGCATGGAGCAAGGGAAGATGGGAGGGGTGTATTCCTGCCCTCTTTCCCACCTCCCTCTGGCTCCTGCACCCAGTTGACTGGTGGCAAGGCCTGACGGGCAAGTGGCGATTGGCTGCTTTGGAACTGAGGCTGAAATCTGAAATCAATCTTAACAGCGGTTGGCAGTGAGGGAAGAACAAGGGAGTGACTTGGATGCCTACTGGCGAGGTAGAACTGGCTGAGGGGCACCGGTGGTTGACGGGTGAGTCCTCTTCCTCCCTGGGGGGTGCCCTTGGGACACACCGGGATGAGGAGTGGGGGTGGTTTTCCTTATGGTCTGCCTCCCTTTGTTCCCCCTCCACCCAGCAAAGTGGCAGGCAGCTGAGGAGGAGGAGTGATTTCTGATGCTCCCTGCCAGCTTCCCACAAGGAAAGTCAATGGGGAAGCTGGCAGGAAGTCAGAAGTCGCTCCTGCTCCCTCTGCTTTTTTGCCCACCTGTGGTCATTCTGTTTCTTTTTAGTTAAGGAAATATCTCTAAAAGGATGACCCAACAGGCCATAGGTTGTCTAGTTCTAGTTAAAAATAACTGCAGAACATCAGAGTGCCTCCTCAGTGTGTTAACCTATAACATATCTGGTCTCCTATGGTTTGATGTCTAATCATTAAATTCAACACTAAGACTTATAGGTACTGCAAATACAATTCTTACTATGTGAATAAAGATTATGGTTGAAGAAAGCAGGGGGAGCAGAGAGACAAGAAGCAAATAACTCACACGTACTTAAAACCTCTAAAAATTAATGGATTAAATGGGGCGGCGGGATGGCTAGGAAACCTAGGGAAGTATTGGCAAGAAATCATTGGCAGCTATACAATTCTGGGCAAAAGCAGCATTCTGTTCCCCTTTGGAGAGATCTTAAGTGTTTTCCAGGAATTTCTCCCAGGAATAACTTTCTCTGTCATCTTATAGCAAATAATTAATAGTAACCTGATTTTTTCTTGTTTACATCCAAATCAGTGACAGGATTTCTAATTTTCAAGGACTACTGTTGAAAAAGGCCCTAGACCCTAAGCCTCAACTTGGATCTTCAAACTCACTTTTTGATTCCCAAGTAGATCACATTAGTAACATTTAATTATTCGTAAAATTTACCCTAATGCCTTCATCTGGAGGTGCAGGCTTGCCTTTTTGCATTGATTTGGTGCAATGATTCTGCTGTTCTTGTATAAACAGCACGTTTGTATCTATATATATAAATATACTTTTGTATAAAGTATTTCCAGTTTGTGTGCAGCATAGACAACTCACTCTTGTAAAAAAAAAAACCTGCAGTTCAAGACATTAGTTAAAAAATGTTAAGTGCAATAGTGTGCAAAGAATTTTATATAAAGTAAACCAGTGACCCCTAACGGGCTTTGCATGTTACTACAGGTTTTAGCCAAGGCCTAAGTCTTATTATGCTGTACATTTCTGTACAAACATTTGTGACCCAATCTAGCAACCCTTATTTTTTTTACTTTGAAATTATGCACCTCGTATTTCTTCTCCAACAGTCTGATTGGCTTATTTGCATTCATCATAAATTAAATGACTGCTAATTGTACTCCTATAGGCACTTCTATGGGAGTTAGGTCCCTGTGGTGCATGAACAAGAGTATTGCTCTGAAGCTTGCAAAGCCATCTCTTTTGTAATAACAAAATGAAAAGTCAAAACTCATTAATGCAATATAAAAATCCTAGGGATATTTAGTCATCATCTGAAGGCTGTTAGGCAGCCAAAAATATATAAAGTCCTCCATGGAATGTACAAGAAGGAGCAGTACTGGTAAGATATAAACATGTATATAGATCTGTTTTCTTATATTTTTATTCAAGAATTGAAAGCAAACAACAAATTTTAAATACAGGAAGATCACCTAAATGTTTATCAAGTTTAAATGTATTGTCCGTAAGTCTGTTTTCACGGTTATCACCTATAATACAAGTCTACAATGGTACAAAAATGGCAAACGTCATCTAATCATTATGGTAGAAAGCCTTAAAGTATCTGTATGAAGAATGACACTTGTATAGGCACATTGTGGTAGAAGAAATACATTTCAATTGTGCATTTTTAATTACTTGGACCTAAATGATTTAAATGAGGTATACTAAGTTCAGTAGGAACCATTTTGTATACTTAAACTGTAACTTTTTTATGTCCCAGAAGTCTGAAGAGAAAATGGCAGAAACGTCAGTGGAATACAGACTAATTGCTTAGCACATACAACTGAAGTTCATGCATTGATAAATCATAATTACTTTTGCTACAGCCTCTTGAAGAACTGTAACAAGCCACAGGATACCAGCTGGATTAGGGTTTTAGTCCTAAACACTGATAAGGGACTGAATTGCATTGAACTCAATGAAACTCACAACTGAGAAAGCATGCGTAAGATTTTGCTGCAAGTCAATACATCCATATATACAGGCTTAACCAACTATAAAGATAATTTTAACAATTTCTCTCAAAATTGGATCTTCTTGGGGGGGCAATATTTGAGATTTGGCATTCTAGTAAGAGATGCAGTTCCACTGTCATTCATAAATACAAAAGTTTATTGGCATGTCATTAGTATAGAACGACAATGCTTTTCAATACCACAACATTAAAGACATATCAAGTTATTCAAATACAAAACTACTGGCTTACCACAACTAAAGTATACAGTGCAGATTTAATAAAAGATATACCAAAAAGATACAGTTTACAAATTCATTCTGACCAAAACAAAAACAAAAAAAATCCAATCCTTCTTTAACTCAGAATTTTTGATGGGAATAAGCTTACTTATATTAAAAAAAAAAACCTCTCCAATTTCTTTCAGACAAATAAACATATATTATTCCTTATAACACAGGAAATGATTTAAAAATAATGTTAAAAGAATTTGTCTATGACAGAAGAAATATCTCTTAAACCTTTTTTAAAAAATAATTTGCAAATCTCTCTCTGCTTTATACAGAATCTGACTGCTAGCTAATTTATTTTTGAGGACACTAATTAGGTCAAGGTGCCAATTCATCCTTTAAAAACTACACAGAACACAGCGCCTTGGTACACACATACAAATGGCCCAGGGTAAGAGTTAATAAATAAAGAAGCACTGGTGGCACCATTTGCCTGTGTGTTTAGAACTCAATCCTGCTGCTGTACAATCTCCCTTCACTTCAGTAGTACCTGTCTGAGATCACATGTTGAAATTAATGGAGGCCTACTGTAATACTTATTGGATGGACTGCGCTCAAAGGCGTCAAACCTTTGGATCCCTACGCTAGAGTAAACCCTTAAGCCCCAATGACCAAAGGACTTACTTCTGAGTAATCATACACAGAAGTGTTTTAACCAGCCATTTGAAGATGCTACAATTCAATTTCTTTGAATTTATAAGGGATAATGCTGCTTCAGAAAGCATTATACATGTCAAAATTGAAATTAAAAAAATTTTTTTTAAAAAAGCTATGAAAGCACCATATACTAAGAGATTCTGTTTATATCAAGGACTATTACAACATTTATGTTCAGAATAATTAAGTTTGCATTTAATTTCTTACATCCTAGGTTTGGGAGTGCTGTGTTTCCCACCAAATTGTACAATATTTATAGGGCTGGGGAAAGAGTAGTGAAAAAACACTTTTGAAAAGAGCAATGTTTAACCAGTTACAGCCTTATCTTACCCAGGTTTGCATATCTGCATATTTACAAATTAGTGTGTAGCTCTGACTCTGAATCAAAGTGCAACAAACAACCGCCATATGATTGTAATGCAGAATAAAACAGCTTTCCCCTTCCTTTATGCTAGTCAACTTTTCCATTCTGGGGGAAGCAACAGGAAGTCAGCAACAACGGACATGAGGTCTCGGAGGAGGCAGTTCTGGTGGAATCTCTGGCTCTGGCTGTAGGGACAGGATGCTGTTGGACAATTCATTTCTTATTACATCCAAAGGCATCTTAAAATGAAAACCAAAAATATTAACGTCAGCAGCATCTTACACAGAATCTTACTGAAGCTGATATACTTTCATCTATAAGAGATCTCAAATTCAAATTCTCATGAGTGCCATGTAAGGACTAATTCATTAGCCTGAGAGTGGCAGCATTTTTGTTTTTCATACATTGATACAAAAATCTCTTTTAAATCAAAAATGAAGAAAATGAAAAGTATCATTATATGCCACATAAATAACATAAATTCATTAACTGGAAAAACAATTTTTACTATGCAACAGCATTATTTTTTTAATCATGTCACTTTGGCCACTACTGACAGCATTTTTCATTCCTCAGAACACCAGGTTTTGGTTTTATATTCAAACACACAGTCAACCTCTGTATTGCTTACCAACATTCATCAGTCAACCTTGATCTCAAAATAGATAGGTTGAACTGAGTTCTCCTCTGCTGTGTCTGAGAGTGAGTCACACAAAATGACTTGAAGAGCCTTACGTGGCACCTAGGCTGCAAGTGTGAGACCCCTAGTCTAGAATTTAAGCATAGTGTTGCTTTTACAATCTGGTCTAAACTGTACCTTAAAGTAAGATTATGCTAATTGCTTAAATAATATGTTAAAGAATTATCCATAAAATTTCATATTTCCTTATATACTGTTAACATTCAACCATGTTAATTAGTGATCCTATGAAACATTTTTATTACTGCCTTATGGTAGTAAACAAAAAGATACAATCCTTATTCAACTGAAGCAAGCAGAAATAATTCAGCAACTGCACTGATAAAAGCTCCTAAAATTGTTTCATAAATTAACCAATATTCTGTTAGAAGTCTGAATGTTGCATAAAGATGGTGGAGAATTTGTAGATAAAACTGATCTGCAATTATGTTTAGTGGACAATAATACTTTAAACAGTCAATATTTTAAGGCCACAATCCTATATACAGTTACCTCAGATTAAATCCCACTGAACTCTAGGGCTTACTTGTATAAGACTTCACAGCAGGTTTCTTGCAGTACAAAGATCATTTACCTTTTTTAAAATGTCATCAACTAGTTTCAAAAATATTTCATCCACATTAAAATTATCCTTGGCACTAGCTTCACAAAAACGCATCCCAGTTATCTGCTGAGCAAACTGTTGAGAAAAAATAAAGGTTTATATTTCTGGGTTATTTCAATCTCAAAAATCATAACTAAGTTTCACTGAATTAAAAAATAATCCTAAAACTTATGTTACAATAATGTTAGGTGACTGTAACTAAATGGGTGATATTAAAAAGAAATAAAAAATATGTTTGATAACTAATGTAAACAATCTGGATTGGATCCCAGATTAATTTAATTAAAAGAAATTCTTTTTTTTTAAATGGTTAACATTGGAAATAAGCTGATTTATGGTTTTAAAATTTTATTTTCACTATCATGATGCTGGTTTCTAATCCTAGCAAATCTTTATTGTCTTTTCTTTGCAATTTCCTCAGTGGCAGAATTCCTCTGAAAGATTACACTATTTTTTATGTACCAAGAAGATCTGGAGACTGACAGGAGAAACAGACCCCAGCTATAAATTACTCAGAAATTCTCAGTTACCACCTGATTTGTTTACTCTGTATATCACTTGTAATGAGCTTTGCCTTAAGCAGTGCTTAAAGGCAAACAAATGGAAATAGATTTGATATTAAACATACATTTAATGTTAAGCTTCTGTGTCCTTCACATTTCCACAAGAATTACTTCCCTCCTTTAATCAATGGATGTTCACTTTATCTTCACCTACTTTTTCTCCCTGTTGCCGACTAATCTCTCTGTCCACTTCACAGTCTAACTTATTTCCAACCAATAGTAGCTCTGCATCTTCTGAGGCATACTGGAAGGAAAACAACAATGAAGTCATAGAATGGTCTCTGTTTCCAGATAAGGCTCTAGTTTTCATATAAAAGAGAGTGAAGATATTTGATTGTTATGTTCTTCATAAATTATGTTGTGGATCAGTGTGCACATATTACCATGAATGACTCTGCCTTATCCTGTTCATTTTCTCTTAATTATCATTCTAGCAGCACAATTAAGTAACTGCTTTTGTTTCATCTTTGTTCCACACGTACTCCTATTTGTAACAAATACTGCAGCAATATTGCAAAATAATATAATTTTTGGTGAAATGCATTGGCATTCTGATGTACATTGTTTCTAATACAATCTACTATTATATGACTATTAAATACTTAAGAAAAATAGGTAGAAAAATAATGTACTAAATCATATTGGGTAGGGGAGGCTTTGTTTCAATGCTTTCAGCATATAAATACACAAAAAGCTGACAAATTTAGTGCTATTTTTTTGGTTTTATTTTATGTTTAGAAGCCAGCCTTTTCAATAATGTGCTACCACTTAATGCTTAAATATAGATCAATGAAGGGGAAAAAGATCATAAAGATTTCCTATTTTTAGAAAGCCATATAATCGATTTGTGAAACTTGATCTTTTACCCTGTTCAGTTTTAACAATTAACAATTTGGAAATGTCTGATAATGCAATACTATAGAGAACTGATAGCTAACACTCAAGAATCTAGAAAATGGCTGCATTGCTACTAGAGAACTCTTCAGAGCTGTACTGCCACATTTAACACTGACATTAAGCCCAGTTTAAGGACCAAAATCAGCACTGTTCATTTTGAGAAACTGAAGCTTACCTTATCAATCATTTTCATCCATTTTGGCAAATCATCAAACGTCTCCTTCTTTGTGATATCATATACCAATATTATTCCCTTGGCACTTCTGTAATAAGCTGAGGTAATGCTGTTGAATCTTTCCTGACCTGCTGTGTCCCTAAGAAGCAGCAGCAAAGGTTGATACAAGCATTTTACTGATCATCCCAAATTTCTACAAAAAATAAAACTTGTATCTTAAATCTGCATTTTTCCTACCCATCAGGCAAGAGGTACCAGCTTCAGGCAGTGTAAAAAAAAGAAGAAGAAACCTTCCCCAAAGGAAAATAATTTCTTGGTAAGAAATGTACATGCAGAAGCCCATCTTGTTACTATGTATCTATTCAGTGAGTGACTGCAGTGGCAAATTCATACAAGACTACTGTGTGACTGGATTCAAGCATGCAATATAATGATTATAAATCTTGTTATTAATGGTTTAGCTTCTACTTTAGAATCTCACCAGTTATGGCTACACATATATTGTGGTATGTTAAAAAAAAAGAAAAAAAAAAGAACAAAGAACACAAGAGCATAAGCCAAGCAGAAGTTCAGAGAAATGAGACATGGAGTTGCATAATCTCAGGATTCTAGTTAGATATAGCAACAAAAATGATGTCACTTTATCACTCCCTCCAATAGTACAAGAGAGTGAAGTGTTCAGACCTGCTCCATTTGCTCTTGGGCAGCACTGATGGCAAGAAATATGCCTTGAGCATATGTTTCATGCTCCATTATATTCAAATCACTTATCTCAAAACAAACACATTTGCTCATAATTAAATCCTCCTAGTTTCAAAGAGAGATTCAAAGAAGCATGTTAAAGATCATGAGAGATTTTGTTTTTAGAATTTCAACCCTCCTTGAATTGAGAATAATAATTATTTTTAACTGTCTTTCATCAAGGAAGAATTTCAATTTATTATAGGTTTTATTCATGTGGAAGAAAAAATCCTTTCAGTTCATCAAATTGTTTTAGGCTTTCTAGGAAGAGAAAAATACTTACTAAGAGTATTCTTTTAGTTCTCTCTGTCAACAATACTATAACTTTACTATAACAACATTGTCACTCTAAGTGGTTCCAGAAGGAGCAACTGTGAATAAATGGCTTTTGTTTTGCTTTTATTCCTAATTGTTGTTTTTTAATTATGTAAGCTGCCCAGAGTCACTTAAGTGAGGTGGGTGGTGATATAAATTGAATAAATAAAATAAAGTTGAAGTTGCCCCTGTAAGTTTTTATACATATCCCCGATTTAAACATTCAGTAATCTGCATACTTCAAGCTCTTAAAGAAATGAAGTTCTAATCTTGTTCCAGACAATCAGTATGCATTAAACAAAGCACATGCATATCCTGTAACACACACAATATACATATATACTACCATATACATTAATGAACTCAAGTATCAATGTACCATAAGTCCTTTCAGGCAGTGCATTTAATATTTTTTAGGGAGACGCATATTTGTATGAATATTGGAATAATTATTTAACTGCTATATCATCTTTACAAAAAAATGCGCTTTTATGAACCTTTGTTCCCTGCATGTGGAAAGTTAGATCTTTTTGTAATATTAGTCCTTTAAGTGGCATTCTCATTCTTCAACATAATTTTTGGATGACGAGAGCTTGCAGTTCCAGTACTTTTTTCTGAATTTTCTAAGCTCCTCACCAGGAAAAGCAAATACTGTACCTTATTAGCACCTTTTCTGCATTTTTAATACACATTAACATTTTCATTTTTGTCATATAGGGAAAAGAGCATGACTGTAACAAATTGACAAGGAAAGGGGCAGCGTATGGCAGCTTTGTGTACAGGATACTGATGCTGCCTTTACCTGCATTTTCTAGATGTCACTAGGTCATCTTAGCCATGTTGAGAACAACTTTTTCCCTGATGTGATTAGAAAAAGTTTTACACTGCTGCAGCATCAGGAATACCTTCAAGGTAAGTTCAATAGCCTTGAACAAGATTCCCCAAATATTGCATGGTTTACATTTTCTTACCCAAGACAGAATGCAAAATATGCCAAACCATATTCTTAGGTCACAGTAGACAATGCATTAAATGGAGTCAACATTTACAGAAAGCATAGTTTCTTCCTGAAACTATTATTCTCCCCAAAGGGACACTGTCTTTGATATTAACATTAAAACAGCTATTTAAGGAAATTAATTTTTACTGGCCTGGAAACATGAGGGAGGGGCAAAGGAGGCCTAAACTACTCTTTCAATCAGAAATGGACATGTGACCCTGAGCTGCAGTGTTCCTGGAGACCCTTTTCTGGGGCCATCAGAGGGTGAGTGTTGAAAACACACCAATTTTCTGCTGAGTTGGGAAATAAATGAAAATCATAAGGCATGTTCTAAAATAGGCATAAAGAACTCCCAATTTCTCCCAAACCCAGTCCCACCCACATATGATATGCTACAACCATCTTGTTATCAAGACCCCTCTCATGTTAATTATGGCCCCTAGTTGCCCAACCCTGCCTTCAGTCACTTAAGTCCTTAAGTTTCAGTTCTTACACATTATGACAGTTCAATACATGTGTAGAAAAAGCAAATTAGTATTCTGACTAGGATTCATAAACTCAATGCACATACAAAACTGCTTCTGTATGCACAGCAAGATTATCTATTTTTTCCTCAAATATCTCTTCCTTAACAAGCTTGGAGGTTCTTTCAATCAAGAGGAGAAATGTTTAGAGAGACTGAATAGCTACAATGGGAAAACAAGCCATAAACACTTCAGTATGTAGGTACTAAAGACTTAATAGTACCAAACAACAAAAACAGCAGTATGGAAAATCCTATAGTAGATAATGCTATGTCTCAGTCATATGCATTGCAAACCGTGTTTCCTTGAGTTCTCCATCTACAAATCAATAGCAGATTCAAAAAGAACCTGGGCAGACATAGATCTATCGAATCCATAGGTCAAATACAACTTTTTACTCAACAGTGCAGAATAAGGAAATATATGTGAAAACCCAAGAGATGTTCTCCCACTTTAGACTGAGAAACAAACATTTGGTTAGTTTCCATTATTATCAGTGTCCATTATAATCAGTGACCTTATCATTTATATTTAGTCATTACACTGACAATTTTTTACCACAACAAGGAGGCCCAAGCTGCATAATCATCCTTGAAGTTTAATGCCACTGAATTGTTGGAATTATATTTACCTTATCCTTTTAGTCTTTTTGGATACTGAAAAGGTAGGGCTGCCAAAGCAGGATTCCAATTTGTTTTTCTGTTTCAACAGTAACAACAATAATGCTACATTTTGTACCTGGTGGCATTTTTTCACAGCCAGTTTTCTCTTCACTGCTGCCAAGACAGTACCATTTCTATTTAATTGGATCAAGTGAACCTAGCAAATCAGGGATTACATACTTGAGACAATGGCACTATAACGTATTTAGTTATTGTACAATAAAAGCATATGAAGTCCATGAGGTCAGATGGCTGAAAGACGAGTGGGATCCACAGAGGAAATCAGGAGCCAAAGATGATTTCCTGCTACTGGAGAAAGTAAATAGGACAGTAATGTTCTCAGAATTGGTTTTCTTCTTACAGGTACCAAGGCAAGCTGGTCCAGAGACCTCCATACTCTTTTGCACTGGGCACAAAGAGCTGGGGGGGAGGGGGAAGGTGAAATAGACAACACATGATTCCCAGAAGAACGCCACTGAGCACAAATATGAATAAAACCTCGTTTCTGTGCAGCTTACACTGAAATCTAAATCTTTTGCAATTACTGTGTCCACAAGCTTTACATTCTAATTTGTTTCAAAACTTATTCATATTTTAAGTAAGTTTTTGACCAAATGAAGTTGCTTTAAAAATATAATTATCCAATATAACATTTATCTATTTGTGGTAGAACAGTCAACAGAGGATTTTTAAAGTTTGCTCCAAATAGCAATATTTCTCCTGCCATTCCCACCTTTAGGCAGCAAATGTGAACAGGGAAGATGCCAGGGTAAAAAATATTGCTAAACTGATGGCCTAAGAACAGAGCAATTATGAAAGGAGCCAAATATTTAAGCTTTAAGGCTCTAAGTGAGGGGAATTTTTTTTTAACAATTATACTTTTCTATGCTGCCTATATTGGTTTATCATATTGGTTAGCAAAAGGTGAATGTGTAATACATGTATTCCTGCTATATGCCATTCTTAAGATTTTTTTTCAACTATTTTCAGAAAACCTTTGCCTAGACTATGAAAATATTATGCTTTATATTCTATAATTCATAACTGGACAAACAAAAGAAAAAAATTGACCTAGATTCTATATAAGTACTTCTAAATAAAATGAAAATAAGGCATGCTGAGTATGTACTTTAACACAACCATTCCTAATGTAATAATCAGTGTATCTTGATGTACTGCTGTTGCAGATAATGTAAGCCTTAATTACACTCGTTCAACGGGAAATTAGTTTCACTAAACATTTTTAGAAGGCTTAAATATGAAGGCATGCTTAAAATGCAAAGGCATGTACTTGAATTCTAGCTTTGATTAAATAATTGTTTTGTGCCAACACAAGATAACAGAAAAGGGAAACAAGAAAAGGAACAATGCTTGTTAAATTGGTTAATTAAAAGTAAAGTTTCCTCCAAACTGGATTCTTGGACACAACAAAACAGAAATGGTTCACTATTACCTTCTTCTAGTCCCCTCACCCCCAGTCTACAGACCTGGAATTCCTTGATCGTCTCCCATCCAAGTACTAATCAGGTTTGTTTTTACAGCGAATAGAAGATAAGCAGAAGCATTTGCCAAGCTTGAAGCCCAGATTCTTTAACAGCCTCTGCTTAATTCTACAGGTGAAATTAGTTAAGAATGTTATGCAACAGTGATAGAGTAAGATTCTCAATTTCTAGAAGATGAATTGGGAAGTGGAGGGAAAAGGAAAATACTACAACTTGAATGAGAATTTAGCCCAAATATTAAAATATAGAGTGTGTCAGTCACAACTGTATTGTGAAAGCCTTTCATCTAAAGAGCATCTTCATTCATTCAAATGGTGAGAAAAATCCTTGTATGCTTTGCCCACCTTCACTGAATGGAAAAAGCCTTACAACTAACTAGGTTAACACCATTAACACATCTTATTATATATTAAAGTGTAGGAAATCTCATATGAGCTTTATTTTCAATGAAATACTACTTCACGTTTATATGTGCAAAGTTCCATTTGTTTAAGCTCTAAATTTAATCTATTTTTAAAACTTTTATTGGGATATCTAAGGAAATACTATGTATGGAGAATTTCAGGACCAAAAGGCTCTCTATCATGCACCAGTAAGGATTGAACACCCAGTATATTTCCAAAAGCTAAACTGTTCTGTGAATATTGGTTTAACCAAGCCACAATAATTGGTTAACTTTATTCTAAAAGACAGTGGCACATTGAAAAATCTACATTACCTCATATTAGCTTCAGTACAAACCATCATGGCTAACCATCATTCTGGCTCAAGTACCAACTCTGTGGCCTTAGGATTCCAGATGGGAACACAGATGAGGAATGAAGTCATGCCAGTAATTTTCAAGTATTAGAGTAACGGATGATACGAAAGATGCAACAGCAATTAACTCAGATGGAAGCAAGACAAACACATGGTGCGACAAATAGAGTTGATGGTGACCTGCCAAGAGGAGTTAGTAAACTGAATTGACTGTGCAAAAGTTAAGTACTACTAAATTGTTTCCATGGTATTATCCAAACAACCATTGAATTCCCCTTCATCCCTACTAGACTGTTAGCATATCTAGCAGTTATTACTAGTATTAATTATGCATGAAGTATTATTAATACACTGGGCTAATAACATTAGCTATCTTACAGAAGATTGTCTAAATAAAGCTGGTTTAGTCTCTCACAACAGCTATTTTCACTACACTACTGTGAATAATTTTGTGGTATGTAACATGCTAGTGTAAAAAATTATCTGATATTAAATAAAAGAAATTGCTTATGACAATCACCATCACTCATATTTTGGACTATGAAAAACTAAACTATGTTACTCTTTTAAATACATTTTTTCTTATTGTCAGAAATCACCAATCAAAGAACTGTATTTTTTTTTACTTCAGTTTTTCGTGGGTGCCAGTATCATATATGGCAGGGACTTTCCCAAGTCTGACTATCCAAGTTTAAAACTGTGAATAAACTATCAATTAAATAACATTTAGATTCAAGAACTGATGCTGGAATGGAGGAGACACTATTGCTACACTATTATTTTCCCTTTAGAACGTAAGTTTATCTGTAATAAGAAAGCCAGACAACCCAACTCAGCTTTTTTAAAAGCCAAAAAACTATTGATAATTGCTCAGCTAGGAAAAGGTGTTGAGATCATTAAACTAGGCCCTCCTTACTTAACTGATCTTTTTGGAGTTGCTGGAGTCGGGCAGCATATACATTTAATAAATTATTATATAAATAAATAATTTAATAAATGTTATTATTATTATAATTATATCATATAATTATTATAAACTGATTTGGCTTAAAAGTAGGAATAGAATGTTTCAATAAATAATACAATATGCATTTCTACCTTTTTATCACTACTTTACAAGTTGCTTGTTCCTACGGCTATATGCCGTGTGAGAGAAAGAAATTCAGCAGCAAGTGGGTTAAAAGTTAATCATATTAGGCAGCATACTGAAACCATGCTAGAACACAAAACTTCAAAGAACATTCTGCTGGTTGCATTTTTTTTTTACTTACCAGATTTGTAATCTAATTTTCTTTCCTCTTAGCTCTACTGTTTTGATTTTAAAATCAACACCTATAAATAAAATACAGTAAATAAAAGAGGAGGAATAAGCAGCAAATGCAAATACAGGTATGATTGTTTTGTACCTGTTCATATATAAGCAAGTTGAACATGAGGACCTATACTACCTGGGAGACAAAAGACAGGTATTACGTACTCTATATGGATCTTAAGCACTGCAGAACTGAAAATGCTTTAAATAAGTGCAAAGGCTTTGGTGTTATGATTTATTTAACTTAAACTAGATGTCCTCATACCTTCACCAGTTTTATAGGAATCATCTGAAACTTTACATTTTAAAAAAAGTACTTCTAACTCCATCTAACTCAATTTTGCCCTTTCAGTGGAGAGAAAGATCAAGCTAGAAAAATCAAGGTTGTCCTATTCTTACTGAAAGGAACTGTGTTCCATTTCAGTGTGCTCATGGATCTTATGTGGCATTCTTGTGGTATTCTTGTTTCACTATTGTCAATAAAAACCTGAAAACCTCTAAAAACGATCCTCCATTAAGTTCATATATATCATATACATTTCCCAGGTACTGTAACTTACACCACAGTATACTGAAATCTGATCTTGAGAATACATTGCAAATGGGTGAGATAAACGGTCAGCCACTCATGAGTGCAGTATCACTGACTTCAAACAATATTTACTAAAAATACATTAAACTCACAGAAAACATTATTCATTGACAACATGAAGATATACTATATACATAGACAATATCATCTAATGCACATAAAATATGACAAAAACGTTTTTTCAGAAATCCCGATCAGGATCTGCAGAGCATGCAACTTGTTTTATGTACCCAAAAGAATACTTGGTCTTTGCTTTTCAAATAGCATAACATGTATACTCTTTCATGTGTCCATGTACAGGAGGTTCAGAAAAAAAATAGGTGTTAAGCCATAATAGTCTGATAATTTTCTAAAAAAAAATGGATCAGTCAAAGCCTCGGTATGTCTCAAATTGCCCTTTTGGATTTTATTTTAGTCATGTTTCTCCAGATGTAGATCATCTGATCTAAGAGTTGCATAATTGCCTGTCTCTCACCTTCCTGAGGTGGACAGAGAAAGAAACTATCCCCTATAGTGCCTCCAAAATCTCCTTATCTGCCTTATTATTATTGTCATTGGCCAGTTTTAGTTTTCTTTCCATTTGAACATGAAGTGCCTATGAAAAGCTAACACAGCCTGAGGTACTTACATTCTCCCCCAATTTAGAGCCCTTATCTCTAAGTCTCAGAGAAGGAAAATAAAATAAGTGTACTCTCCTAGACACAATTATTAGCAGGTATTCTTTGGTTCTGTTTATGTACTAGGAGAGGAACCCCAAGGGATGTTTACAAGAACATAATAGCAGCACTTTGTGTTCTTGAAGAAGAGAGGTGAGAATTATGGTAGGCAGGAAAAAAATGCACAGGAAAGCAATTAAAGGGACTGGCAATTCCTATTTACTTACTACTTACGATAAAACTTTGCGTGCAAAACTGGAGGAGAGGGGTTAAAGGCCATTCTTTTAAGTGACATGCCAAAAGCCACATTCTGAAGTGATCTCTTTGCATCTATTAGAGTTTAGTCCCAGATAACAATGCACAGAACTGTAGTCTAAGCTATGTCAACTAGGGAACAAGTAGGCCAAAGGGAAAAAAAGGCAAATATAGAATAGACTTAGCCCTGAAGCTTGACCAAATCACACATTAGAAAGATATCCTTCATAATGCTGCAGTAGACTATAAAATCAAAACCATATTTTATCATTGCTGTTTACAGCTGTACAACTTTAAAAGTTAGACGAATTATCATGGAGTTGAGTGTATTCTGAAAAATGCTAAGATAAAATCATAAATAACATTGGTGTGAAATTCTTACAGTAATTTTCCTACAGCCTAGTAGATAAGTCCTACAAGTCATATACTTCTTTCTATATAACTGAAAAACACTAAGAATCTCAAATCGTTTATTTTCCAAAGCCAAAATTGAAGTTAATCATAAAACAAAATCATGCCTATCTGTTTTGTTTCTTCCTATACTACTTCAGATATTTATAACTTAACAGCTGATCTCCATTCTTATTTTGAAATCAGCACTCATTTACTATACTTAGTTCCACTCATTGGTTCAATTTTCATTTTGTTAGATGTCACAGATGACCCAATCCAGAATAAATGATTGTTCAGTCTTAAAAGCAAAATTTACAATATACTTAAGCAAAGTACTCCATTTTATTGGTTGCCAACTGATTTAGGGGCAATGGGATATTTGATTCTAGCATAATATATTCTTACAATTCACATGTTTATCTGCACAAGGTGGATTCTGAATCTGAACTTGGAACAAAAACCTTTTCAGAGAGCCAGTGTGAGACACTGGCTTAAATGTTGGCTTTTTACATGAGGATTAAGTTAAAAATATTTATTGATTTTGAAGGACATTAATCAGTTGTGGACAAGACACTCCCTCAAACAAATCAAACCAACTTTGTACTTCCGTAAGGAAAAATGTTACAGAATAAGCAGTAAAGCTTTTATGTTTATAGCGTTAAGTAGTAAGTACTTGGCTTGTTGAAATCCAGAGATTTTCTCCATTTGTTCACTTTTCCAAAGACATGTAAGACTTTGTTTCAGAACTTATTTGGCTGTTTTTTGGTTGTTTGTGATGAGCTGATACAAGTCTTTAGTTCATCAACTGATTTTATTCCATATATATTGTGTTGAATGTTTAGCAAGGGACTATTTAAAATGTTTTCAAATAAAGAAGTGGCAACTATAACACTCTTTAGTTCATTTTATATATTCAGAATATATATTCAGATTATTTTTAAACTTTATAGATGTTTCTAAACTCAAAATATGTGTAACTTACTTCTTCGTTTTTCACAAATGCATTGTAATGGCATTAGAACAAGTTAAATTTAAGATACTAATGTTGATTTCAAACACTGTATATTTTGGGGACATTGGTCTATGGAGCTATGTTGTGATGTTTTCATTGCTGTAAGTTATCAGGCTCAGTAGAGCATTACTAACTGGCTGTTGGGATACCCAATAAACCTTTACATGAAACTCCTGGGAGAGGTCATTCTGGATTTTGCCATTAAATGTGATCAATATACTCTCCCTCCTTTCATCTGGTGCCAAATGTTAAAAGTCGTGGCAATCTTATACTACTATCAGGCTGCAGTAGTAGACTGAATGTGGTCAAGACAAACTACTGATAATTAATGGACAAATTGACCTGGGAAGTGGAATTCCACTATCCTGTATGGTGTAGGACTACCTGAGGAGGTTGAAGTTTGCAACTTTGAAATGTTTCTGGTTTGACACAACTCCTGCAGTTTGTTTAAGAAAATATTTGCTCAACTTGTGTCAGCTGCATCTCTTCTTGAAGGCGGCAGATCAAGCTAGTTTACACATATTATTTACAATTAATTTCTGAATCTTCTTTCAACTCAGAAAGGAGTCAACTTACAATTTAAATTTGTCTAAAAAATTATACAGTGTATGATTTGTACATTCATATAGTGGCTTAGTATTATGTGGGAACCAAGCCAAAGTGTGGATATAATGTGAGAAGAGGTTTACAGAAATAGAGTTTATCAAGAATTTGGCAGACTGCGTGGCATGATAACTGTTCTCATATGGTAGAACACAAGATAGGAAGGATGGGAAATGGATTTGACGTCTCTGCTCCAGATTTTAAGAGGCATTTTGCACTTTATGTAGGAAATATCAGCTACTAAAACACTGAAAACAAACACAAAATTAAAAAAAAAAATTCTATGATGAGTCAATGCTATTCATTAACTTCTGCAATTCTTGCTTCCAGTTTCTAAAGTTAGTATACACATGAGAGTTGGTAAGTTACTATTAAAAGAAACACATATTGCAACCTTGTACATGTTTACACAGAAGTAAGTTCTCCTGATTGCAATGAGATATGCTCCAAGGTATAGAACTGAAGCCAAAGTAATCTGTTATTATATTCTATAGTATAACTATATTCTGATTTAAGTTAAAATTTCCTTACATTAACTAATCCATATTAAATTTAAAAAATCCCATCCTTTAACCACAATAAGGGAAAACTTAAATCAAGAGTGTGAACTATTAAGTTTTAAAATCTAATGAATGCAGTAAATGCAATTTATATCTATTAAAATATATTTCACAGTGAGTCCTTATAAATCTATTTTAAATGTATATTGGCCTACTAACATTAACATGGTGTAAAATGAGAAGCATATAGAAAGATTCTCTGCAACTTTATGTAATGGACAGTCCTATAAAGTCTCACAAGTATACAAACTTCACTGATCTTGAGCTGTATATGATGGCTATAAGATTTTACCATGGTAGACTAATTAATTTTAATAAAGTATGCAGATAGTTAAAATGATATACCAACTACCTTAAAAGCCAACTCCCCCATTGTCAAGTTCCAGCAGCAGTTTTTTCACAACCATGAAATGGCATGTTCACAAACATTTTATGAAACAAACAATAAACACGTTTATTTCACAAATATTTTAGGAGAGGTAGTAGATCTGGTCTGACCAAGGAAATTAATTTCTTCACTTGACTTGCCTATTCCAATGAGAATAATTCTATCTATTTAGCAGGTACAATGAACTGCTAGAATTATCTATTTGGTTTCTGAATCATAATTCAAGATAGTGGTTTTCAAGTCATACCAGGGAACCTTAGTGAATGAAGTTCACTATATTTCTTTTAACAGGTCACTAATGTCAGTATAATTTTTATGAAAAGCAGCTTGCTTATCAACATCATAATTTTAATGTGTTGATTATGAAGCACATAGATATAGCTAATGCATTTCATTAACTCAAGATAAGCTACAAATCATCTTTCCAATGCAAATGAAGCATATGGCACATGCCCAGAGGTTCCCCAGGAGACAAAAGAATGTGTGAAGTATTATTTGAAGCAGGAATTCTATAAATTATTAAAATTAATCCATAAAGGTTTCACTCAAAAGAATGGTATTAAAATACTAAGGCTGCAGTCCTAAATACACCTTGGAGTAAGCCCTATTGAAAACAGTGGAATTTACTTCTGAAAAAATATGCACAGCACTGCCATATGACAATCCCAACTTTTCCTTAGGAAAAATGTACACACCATAGAGGAGTGTTTCAAATGGCTGATAATTTTAAAAAGTAAATCTGTAAAGAAAATGTAACTTTTACTGTTCAAAGGTTGCAGATAGTGCAATATGTAGTATTTTCATGGTCTCTGCCTGTAAAAATTCAGGCTGATACGGACCAGTCTTGATTTACCTATGGATGTGCAACCCTCCCCAAGCTGTAGCTGCAAATCGTTCCATGATCTGTTTCTATGTTGATATATTGATATCAATTGATATATTGATATATTATCTCTCATTAAGTTTCCCTCTCTGGCTTGTTCCAGTGAGAAAAAGCACCATGTTGCAGTTGGACATGACAATCTAGAAACAAAACAAGGGAGACCTATAGTCACATGCCTCTTGAAGAAAAACCCTTGTACACATTTGCTGCTAGATCACAGTTGATCATGGCCATTTATGTCCAAATGGACAGAAAGAACCACAGAATGTGCCTGCAGTAGCAATGGACAGATACTGTACTGTGGTTATTGAAGGTCCACTGATGCTTGGTTAAAAAAAACACAAAAACAGCAAATATAATCTAATTTTTCTTTTGGGTGCCTTTGAGTTGGCGACTGCATGGACAAGTCCCTGCAATTTTCTTGGCAAGATTTTGGAGGTGGTTTGCCATTGCCTTCTTCCTCGGTCTGAGAGTGTGTGACTGGCGCAAGGTCACCCAGCTGGCTTTGTGCCTAAAGCAGGACTAGAACTCATGGTCTCCTGGTTTCTAGCCTGTGAAATTCTGTGAAACTTTGTAACATTTTCCTATAAAAGAATAATTCCAGACATTTTAATTCAGGGTTGTAGGTTCTTACAGTATCCTTTATGAGGCAAAGTGACCAGAAGTGTGTGCAGTATCCCAGGTGTAAGTATTCTACAAACGTGTATAAAAGGACTGATGTATTGGCAGCTTTATTTTTCATTTCTTCCCTGATGAATCAAGAAATACTGCCTCCTGGTCCTGTAATAAAATGATGCACTAATCAGTGTTTCTCAACCATGGTAGTTTTAAGATGTGTGGACTGCAACTCCCAGAATTCCCAGATGGGGAATTCTGGGAGTTAAAGTTCACATATCTTAAAGCTGCCAAGGTCGAGAAACACTGCACTACATTTCTGAGAGTAGGAGAGTTTCCCTGACATGCATCCCACCAGCAATCCTCACTAGAAGCGCTTCCAGTTGTGGCATTGCGTGTGTGAAAGCGAGGGAAGGAGGAAAGAGGACTTCAGGACAGTCGTTGTTAGGGAAGCGGCATCCCCCGAAAGAAAAGGCGGAGGGTTGCAGTATCTCGGGGAGTTCAAAGCGCAAATCCAACAATTGCCCTCGGCTACCCCCCCGCCCCCGCCCTCCCCGCATCCGCCTCTCACGCGATCTGGCGCCGTCCATCTCCCAAGGCAAGGGAGGCTTTTCCTCTCCTCTCCCTTCCCGGCCACCACACGCCGACCGGCCTCCTCGTACCTACGGTGGACTTGCAGGCCTCGCAGAAAGTGTCGTCCGTGAAGCGCTCCATCAGGCTGGTCTTGCCGACGCCTCGAGAGCCGATGATGATCACCTGCAGCTTGAAGTCGGCCGGCCGTGGTGGCTGTTTCCTGCGGCGGGCCTGAGGCCCCGAGAGCGCGGGGGAGACCCCGGCCGAGCCCAGCCCGCCCCCGCCGAACCCCGGCCCCCTTCGCTGCAGCCCAGAGCCCGGCTCCATCCACTCATGCGGCTCGCGCGGCCCACTTCCCGCCACCTCAGTCAGGGCCCGGCCCGGGACCGGCTGCCCTCGCTCGCCGTGCGCGACACCTTAACCCCGGCCTGAGAAGAAGAAGAAACAGAAGGGGAGAACCGGGGTCCAGCCAGTGGGTGCAGCCTCCCGGAAGTGAAGCCAGAGGCGGCACGAGAGAGTCGATGGCAAGAAGCGCCCCCTAGCGGCCTGGAGGACTGGAAATGGAAACGGAAACTTTAGTCTATTTAATCAGCATACGTGGTCATGTGGATCAATAGTGGTCTGGAGGAAGGGGCTGGTCGGGTGCCCCTCAAGCACAGCTTTCTGGGGCTGGGAGTGCAGTTCTTATAGGGAGTATGTTTTTAAAACCTCTGTCCGTTCAATGCCTTTTAAATTGCTAAAAAGTAGTTTAATCTTTAGTACCATTGCTCCATTGCTAATGGGCAACCCCAATATAGAAGCCTTCTCAACTTTTCAGCCATTGCTGTATTTTAATAATTGTCTTTAATTATCTGTTGTGTTTCCTATACTGGGAAATTGTTTGCAATGCCAAAACCCAAAATAGTGGTCTAGAACACAGTTCTTAATCTTTGCTGGGGTGGCAAGAAAGTCAAGGTGGCAGCTGTGACTACAATGCCAGCTGTGCCCCTTTTTATGTGTGTTGTAGAAAAAAGCAGGACATTGATCATAGCTGCCATCTTGACTTTTCTGAAACCTCTTGTGGAAGCCTCTGCAACAGGACAGTCCCTATTTTCCTTAATTGTTATATTTTCTGGGTAGGTGGGCAGACTTACAATGCACTGGGGTAATTGTGTTCATTTTAAAAAGTTTATTGAGCCCGTTTGGGGCTGAAATCCATTCCAAAATAAAAATGATGTTGGAGGTTAGTGCCTTGCTTGTAGAATGCCACTTTTTAATTCAAAAGCATTTAATTCTTTGTTACCCTCTAGGAGTAAATTAGATTTTCACAATCCAGATATAATGGTCTTACTCTGTGGTCATAAAACTGTAGAGTTGAAGGAGACATCTAGTGGTGGAGGTCCTGTCAGAAAATTTCTGACAGATGACCATCCAGCCTCTGTTTGAACTCACCATATCATGTGGCAGCCTGTTCCACTGGCTGATAGCTCATACAATCAAGAAGATCCTTCGGATGTCTAGCCTGAACCCCATTCCTGTAGTTTTAGATCACTGGTTGAAATCCTGCCTTCTGGGGTAATGTGAATAAATCCACCCATTTCTGGGTGTCACTTTTTCACCCTTAGTTGTCTTTTCTGTAGACATACCCAGATCTTTTAATGCTTCCTCATAGGGCTTGGTTTCTGGACCCTTCACTTTGGTAGCCTTCCTCTGAACTTGGTCTAGTTTGACATTGTCCTTTATGGCATGCAGAACTGAACACAATACTCCCAATGGTGTCTGACCATGGCAGAGTAGATGGAAAAACTACTACCTCTGATTTGAATTCTGTGCTGCAATTATTGCATCCTGATATAGCATTTGCCTTTTTAGTAGCTCAATCACTCTGCTGGCTCATGTTTAACCTGTTTAACTATTTAATTTATTGAATAAACAAAAGCCAAAAGAGATGGCTGCACCAATTGTCTTCCCTTTTCTGGGGAATATATTATATTATGGCCAGAACTATACAGGTAGTCCTCGCTTACCAACTGCCTCATTCAGTGACCATTCAAAGTTACAATGGTGCTGAAGAAATAACTTTACGACCATGCCCACATTTATGGCCTTCACAGTGTCCCTCAGTCATGTGATTGTCATTACAGTCAGTTGTCGGGTGCTTAACCTGTTGTTTTTCTCCCCCCCCCTTGCGGAGCAGAGAGATTTGAGAGGTAGTGATTACAAGAGAGTAAGCAGGCACACAATGGGGAATATACCAGCTGTTTGCTGAGCACATTCATGGCTGCTGACACCAGCACATTGCTTTCAAAGTGTATTCCCCATTATGTGCCTGCTTACTCTCTTGTAATCCCTTTCTCTTCAATACATGTAAATACAAACATTAATTCCCTTCTTGTTAATTATCCTAGTGCGTGAGCATTCCAATGGCGAGGGAGTGGGGAAAAGAAAAGCACAGTCATGGTCATGTGATTTGCCACTTAGCGACTGCTTTGCTTAGCGATGGAGTTGCTGGTCCCAATTGTGGTTGCTAAAGGAAGACTACCTGTAGTATCTTCCACTGCTGCCTGAAATTGACAAGACCTTAATCAGTTACATGCTGAAGGCTTTTGTCTTCTAACTATTTCTAACAAGTTCCTGCTATTGAAAAACCAGTCTTTCTGATGCTGGAAAAAGTAATTTCATATACATGTAGGCCTTACTTTTTTTTTTTTTTTTGGAAGTCTCTCACTGTAATTTTTGTTGTGGATGCTAAGAAGTTAAATAGTTAGTGTGTCTTCTTCCCCCCCCTCCCCCCATTTGGCCTCCTTTCCAATTGTCCATGTCCTCCTTTGCCTGTTCAGGTATCTGGAAACCCTAGGATGGGTCATTAAAATTTTTCATTTCACAACCCTTTTGGATTACTTTACATATAATTCATTTCACTCTCTATTTTTTGAAGATTTGTTTTCTTAATAGGTATATTTTGATATTGATTTACATTTATGGTATTGTTTTACACTGTAAATCACCATAGTACCTCTTTGGGAAGCTCATAAATATAAACATATAAAAATAAGAAATATAACATCAGTTAATGGATGGTTATATTAGTGAGTCTCAAAGAGAACTGCTAACTTTTCAAGTGATTGCTTTAAGTGTGCCTTTCAGAATAGCATCCTACAAAGATAGTTACAAAAAAAAAAATGGCAATTTTTATTGTCAAGCGGTGAAAAGATTCATCTTATGTTTCCTTAACATGAAGCCACTGTTACAATCACAAGAATGTGCTGGAACATCTTTTAAAACGTCAATTCTCAACCGTACTTCCAGCTTCCTTCCTTAAGCAAAAAATAGCTGAAGAAAAGCTCTGGATCTCCTCTTCTAAGGACCTTATGTCCACGAGGCACAAAGTTGGGATGATGTCTATAATTATTTTGTTTGGAAAAAACAATTGAAAAGTCAGTAGGTCATAAAATCCAAGTATTGCTGTTTTTGTGATAAATTAAACCTTTATTTTCACAGAATTGAGGACCTGGGGACAAAAGCTGACAGAAGATCTGCAGTTATAAGAGTAAAGAATGAAACCATTTGAACTTTTAAAATGCCATCACTATAAATAGGATTCAGAAATGACAGCAGAATTGTGCTCCTTTGTTTGTCTGCCCCAGAAGTCATTTCCTTGTTTTTATAGGCAGATATAAATCAAGCTTCTGAGGGAACAATATAAATAGATTCTAGTATAATAACATTATATATGCTCATCATAGATTTCAGTTACATCCTTTACAAAATATTATGTCTCATCAATGGAATTTAAACAAAGAGCATATGGCCTCACTTTTCGTTTGCTTGCTTCCAGATCCATCTGTCTTTCAAAAATTACCTTGTTTTGCTGAGTTTACATTATAATAACTTGTTTTTGAGTTTGTTTGAAGCTATTATGGAGAGAGCTTAAGTATCAACAAAGCTGCTTCTTGTAGCCTTTTCAGCCTGTTTATAAGATGGCTAAGATCCAGTTAAACGGGGCAGACATTTGTAGGGTTCCAGATAGTACTGAACTACAGCTCCCACCATTCTTCAAAACAGGATATGCTGGATGGAGGAGCTCAGGAACATCTGGAGAGTCAGAGGTTCCTAGCCACTGCAGTACACAAGAAAGGTTTTCACAACACTGTGTACATGTTTCGGAAAGCACCACATTTATGGAATTCAGGAACTTATATGTAATTTGTATGAATTTTTAATGGCCAGAATATGTGAATTATGTAGAATAAGGTTTTTCAGAAAACCACCCAATTTACACTAATTATGGCTTTTAAAAATGTTTTTAAGCAACCACACATATTCACAAATTAATTATGTCTTTACAATGAATAGTTGTGCGATCTGGTTTCATAAAATTTCAATGCCAGTAGAGCATGGTGATTAAATTGTGGGGTGGTTTTTTGTTTTGTAAAATGTACCACACAACTGTTTTATCTCACATACTGTTGTGGTTGAAAAACTGACGTGATGTAAACTTATAAGGTGATCTTGGCCCAGCTATTCTTTCTCAATTTAACCTAACACTGAGTGCTGCTGTAGAGCCTCTTTGAAGGAAAGGAAGTTAAATAGAATTTAATTAATAGATTATACTCTATATTATATTGTGTTGCTTTGTTAAAACCCAATTTGAGAAAAAGGTATATTATGGATTTCAGTCTTGCTGTGTGGAATGAGCAGGAGTCTGACTTAAACTTTAATAGGTAAATTTCACTTTCATTTTATATAGAGACAGAGAATGAGAAACAGGGAGGGAGAATGAGGAGAGGGAGTGGGAAGCTGTTGTAAGTCCATGAATGTAGCTTAGAATGAAATGCTTATTGTCCTGTGGAAAATGCCAGAAATGGTAGCTTCTGGTCACTAGAAAGAGTTATGTTTTGTGCAAAAACTGCAATAAGAATTAAATCAAGCAGATAGTTGACTGAAAGCTGATAAATGTAGAGACTTTAGGTACAACCTCACGAGCAGCTGAGTATTAAGCTGGAAGTATTTTGGAGCTCAGCTGTAGGAGCTCCACTGTAAGCTAGCTAACATTTTGTATTATTCATTAGTTATGAAATATTCAGATATTAGCTGCAGCATTGGTCTGGTGCATGCATCTTTCTGTTGACACAACCAACATCACACTTCACTGTTTCGGCTCAGATCACACCAGTGATACCTTTCAATAAAATTCAAAAACAAAACAGAGAATATTCTCAAACTTTATTCATGATGATTTTACAAATCTATGCACTAAAGACTGCTTGTTTTGAAAGAATATATTTTTATTTAGCCATACAGCTGTTAATCATTTGGCAGTTCCTAGGCTTAATCTGAGCTACCAGTAGATGGCAGCAAAGAGTTAGATTTTCCTGTATAGCTTTGCAGGCCAGCTCAGGTATGGCAGGCCCATCCTACAGCTGATTTATATCCTGCCTTTCTGCCCATAAGTCATATGCAAGTTTATTCCTAATTAAATCCTACTGTCTTCACAGAAGCTTACTTTTAAGTATGTCAGTTGCTG